AATAAACTGGTTAGTCTCTAAGGTGCCACAAGTACTCCTTTTCTCCATAATTTATGTGCAAGTAAAGAAATGAAAAGATACCTAATGCACCTTCTTGGCAAAGTACAAATCACTTTTATTTACTGAGGCAATACTTCATGGTCCAGTTAACTTCTTAATTAAAGGCAGCAAGATACTCATGTTCCATGCAAGTGGCATGGAAAATAATGTTTAGTGTATAATATGTTCAGCTGGGAGTTGAAGATGCTCTGCTCACTTCTGGAGAAATCTGGTGCATCTATCATTTCCCTTTAAAACAAGGCTAAAGGATGCACCCATCACTGCAGCAAAATTAGTACTAGTTTTCAAAACTACGACTAGAACAACCTCAGTGTTCACGAAACTGCCCGTGATGCTCTGATGCCCAGTAATATACTGCCAGTATTTCATAAAGGCGATCCCACAAATATGTCTCCCTTCAGTCATGATAAATCACATTCATCAGCGCTATGTGTAGACTATGGACTATGCTCGGGTGCAATTTCAGTGGCAGGACCTAAATTGTGGCACACCTTTCCAGAGGCCATCAGATTGAACTCAACCACTCAGCACAAAGGATGAGGGGCATCAGGTAGCCAGTTACAGCTCAGTTATTCTGAAACCACTACAGCTGCTTCAGTGTAAATTAGAGCAGCCAAAGGGTTCCTGTACACCTTGTGGGGTTTTCCTTCTTCCTAACCCCTGGTTTTCCCCCAAGAGGAGGCAGTCTGGCTCCATAATGAAAATTAAATGTATCTTTTAAATGGAGAACTTCTGCTATCTTTAGGCCTGAGGCTCTGCTTTCTAAGGAAAATGTAGATGCTTTTAATCATGATCTATGATGGAATTAAAGACGCATCTGAGAAGGAAAGGAGTGGCAGATGAACTGAGGCTACCAGATGGACTACAAGCCGTCAAGAACACTATCCCTGATGATGTCACGGCTAACCTGGTGGCTGAACTTTGTGACTTTGTCCTTGCCCATAACTATTTTACATTTGGGGACAATGTATACCTTCAAATCAGCGGCACTGCTATGGGTACCCGCATAGCCCCACAATATGCCAACATTTTTATGGCTGACTTAGAACAACGCTTCCTCAGCTCTCGTCCCCTAACGCCCCTACTCTACTTGCGCTATATTGATGACATCTTCATCATCTGTCCCCACGGAAAAGAAGCTCTTGAGGAATTCCACCATGATTTCAACAATTTCCATCCCACCATCAACCTCAGCCTGGTCCAGTCCACACAAGAGATCCACTTCCTGGTCACTACAGTGCTAATAAACGATGGTCACATAAACACCACCCTATACCGGAAACCTACTGACTGCTATTCCTACCTACACGCCTCCAGCTTTCACCCTGACCACACCACACGATCCATTGTCTACAGTCAAGCTCTGCGATACAACCCGCATTTGCTCCAATCCCTCAGACAGGGACAAACACCTACAAGATCTCTATCAAGCATTCTTACAACTACAATACCCATCTGCGGAAGTGAAGAAACAGATTGATAAAGCCAGAAGAGTTCCCAGAAGTCACCTACTACAGGACAGGCCTAACAAAGAAAATAACAGAACGCCACTAGCTGTCACCTTCAGCCCCCAACTAAAACCCCTCCAACGCATTATTAAGGATCTACAACCTATCCTGAAGGACGACCCATCACTCTCACAAATCTTGGGAGACAGGCCACTCCTTGCCTACAGACAGCCCCCCAACCTGAAGCAAATATTCACCAGAAACCACATACCACACAACAGAACCACTAACCCAGGAACCTATCCTTGCAACAAAGCCCGTTGCCAACTGTGCCCACATATCTATTCAGGGGACACCATCACAGGGCCTAATCACATCAGCCACACTATGAGAGGCTCGTTCACCTGCACATCCACCAATGTGATATATGCCATCATGTGCCAGCAATGCCCCTCTGCCATGTACATTGGTCAAACTGGACAGTCTCTACGTAAAAGAATAAATGGACACAAATCAGACGTCAAGAATTATAACATTCATAAACCAGTCGGAGAACACTTCAATCTCTCTGGTCATGCGATTACAGACATGAAAGTTGCAATATTACAACAGAAAAACTTCAAATCCAGACTCCAGCGAAAGACTGCTGAATTGGAATTCATTTGCAAATTGGATACAATTAACTTAGGCTTGAATACAGACTGGGAGTGGATAAGTCATTATGCAAGGTAACCTATTTCCCCTTGTTTTTTCCTACCCTCCCGCCCCCCGACCACGTTCTTGTTAAACCCTGGATTTGTGCTGGAAATGGCTCACCTTGATTATCATACACATTGTAAGGAGAGTGATCACTTTACATAAGTTATTACCAGCAGGAGAGTGGGGTGGGGGGAGAGAAAACCTTTTGTAGTGATAAACACCCATTTTTTCATGATTTGTGTGTCTAAAAACAAACATCTTCTGTATTTTCCACAGTATGCATCCGATGAAGTGAGCTGTAGCTCACGAAAGCTCATGCTCAAATAAATTGGTTAGTCTCTAAGGTGCCACAAGTCCTCCTTTTCTTTTTGGAGGACCACCAGTTATTGAGATGCATCCCTAAGAAATTTCCACAGGGATTACCCCGTTCTATCCATAGAGAGAGAGAGATTCATAAAGATAGGGAGCACTCTATGATTCACCCATGCGGTCAAATGGAGAACTGGCACAACTTCACTGAGATCATGGGAGCGCAACTCCCCTCACCACGAGTCTGATCCCATGACCTCTACTACGTACAGATAACACTGGGTTGATTTTGTAACTATGCTACTAGATGAAATTACACTGAAATATCATTCTCTATCTTTTGCTGTACTTCATCTACGATAAATAACCATCATTTGCAAGTCAGATGAGCAATAAATAAAACCATTAGCTCAGCTAGCAGACTGCACTCTTAGGTTGTTTACTAAAACACATGAAAATATTATACATTAACATAGTCCTGGCATGTTTTATTATTCACCAGTATTTAAAGTTCTTGTCTCTTACACTGTGCATTTTTAAAACCACATTTTGCACTAGCGAAAATCCTAAGTAACTCAATTGTAATGGAGTTATTATTGATTTTCAGAGATGCAACTGAGAACTGAGTTTAGCACTTAGTTTTTACTGTATTCCTCAAGCTCAATAATTAGTAATACATTTCATTCTGCAAGAATGCTCTGGTTAGATCAGAAACAAGCTACTGCCAGTATACGCAAGATTACAGTTCTGGTAATTTAGAAGTTCTTGCATATATTCCAAAAGGATCACCTTATGCAGCAGCGTCTCACTTGGATATGGTGAATCAAATTCAGACCTGGCATAAGAAAGCACAATTTCACTGACACCTGAGCTGCACCTGCTGACCACTAGGTCTGAATGTGGTCTGACAGTTGGAAAGAGCTGGATAAATTTTGCGCTGGCTACACCCCCACACAACTCCAATGGGAAGTCAGTGGATCTGTTCATGTGGTAAAGTTCCATACAGATTGTGAGGCTGATCCACCACTCACTTACGTCACTGGGTTTTCGATCAGGCCCTTTGGATTCACAGCTAAAGTCTTCTCAGAACAACAGCGATATACTGGAAGGAGGGAAAAGTCCTCTATGGAAGTAACATTCACACAGGATTTCTATTACCTCCTGTTTGGCCTTCATAAAACCACCAATCATAGCATGCAGTCCGGTGTCATAGCCTCAACTAGCATGAGAAGATATCTTTTGTCCCTCTACCATACTGATATGTAGATTAAGATGATGAGGACTAAAGAATAAACTTCCCAGAAGCAATAAATGCAACTTGCTCTTTGTTCTCTTAAAAAATCAAATATTGTTTCCAAAATCTAAATCTAACAAAATAAATGTATTTATATGATGCATTTCATGTACTCCATGCTAAGTGAATGAAATTACATGTACAGGGTTCTAAGGCCCTCCTTTAAATTCCACATGGAAACATTTATAGATATCAATATTTTTTCATTCGCTTCTCTTCCTAAATTAGAATGATTACACAAATCAAACAACAGCCATTTTAAAGAGGTTACAACCTTCAGTAATTAAATCGAATATTGTATTGGATGTTGCACTGATTACTCCAAAAAGTTCCAGTTGCTACAAGACCACTGAAATGTAGAGCTAAAGTGATGTTAATATTTAATTAGCTATCTGCCACTGTCATCAAGTGAGAAGTTGCTATCCAATTCAAATTAACATTTCTGAACAGGAAACAGGATGTATGATGCCTTCTATGAAGTATCAATAGGAAACAGAAGCAGCATATAACCTATTCAGTCTTTCAAAGCTGCTTATGCTAAACAAAGTTGCATGAGGATGGTCAGTAAGAGCTGACAGTAAATTAAATTTTACCATAAAGATGCTATTTTAATCACACTTGGGTTCCTCGTGATTTAGACTTCAAGTAATTTTCCCACGTTTGCAGTTTTAGCTGCATGTAATTACAAAAATTGCTGAGTCCTCAGCACCTTGTAGAATTGAGCCCATGGTAAGAAAGAGTTTAAGGTGATTAAATGTGGCTGAATCAGACCCACATGTACTGATCACACATCTGTGGTCTCAGGCAGTATTGATGATAACTAGTAAACTGCAGAGTGGATTTCACAACTATCTGCCATCTCTCTACCCATGAAAAGTGAGGAACTCTGCAAGGAGAACTTCTTATTAATATGTGTCCTACATCAAAAGGAGGAGAAAAGCCTGTCTGAAATCTTAGATGTCCTGGAAGCATTTTATCTGCTCTTCAAACAACACTGCCTTCTCCTCATGCAAAAATGCATGTAACTACACAACAGACACTCTACTGGCTCATTCCCCAAATTAGACTTGCATAGTATAGCCAAGCTAATTTATAGTTGTGAATTGGCTGGGTGCCATTGTTACTGACATATTTTCTAGTGTTTAGAGTACAGAAATGTGATCATTCTCTCTCTTTTCTGGATAACTTACTGGTCTGGACCGGATTTCTTTGGCGTAGAGAGGTTTCAAGAATTCTGAATCTCCTTCTAGCTTCAGACCTTCCCCTGTGATTCTCAGGTTCCCCATTCCATCCTGAAATACACACACACGCACACACAAAAAAAGCCTATTAGCTATGATTTTTAAATACCCGAGTGAGGCTGTCAAAAACTGAAGCGAAGTTATTGTTGTAGTTTTTTCCTGTGCAGAAGAACATGTAAAACACTGGGAGGCACTGCATAATGCAATTACTTGTATTATCCTTTTAGCTCCATTTCTGTGAGAAAATTCTATTCTATGCAATCTGCAATGCCCCCGGTAAACCATTTACACAGATGAAAGATGCCCTTTTAGGCTAGTCATCTCTGCTCAGAGACAGAGAGATGATAAGGTGACATTCTATGTTAACATGAAACTGCTCACTGTAATATGTCCGTACGTTGATATTACCTTTCCACTCATGATGAGTCCACATATAGAACAAAAAGACATTAATTCTCCAGTTATCAGACTAGTAAAAATGAGGTTTAACTTTATAAAAAACAATTTCAAATTGCAGTAGTTGTAGTTATGCGCTTATGTTACTTCTGTCACAGCATTGTAATTAAGTGCACTGTGTAACTTGACCTCTCTCTTATTTTATATATGGTTCAGCAAAGGCAATGCAATTCTTTGGTTCTTCCCTGAAACTATAAACAACAGTGAGAAAGAAAGCTATTTAAAAAGTTATGGAAAGTACTTTATCAGTGTCAAATTTTGTATGAGTTTTTCTCATACCTTTTATATTGTAGACAGGAACACAGATGCATCAAAAGAAAGCAGAACAGGCTTACATTAACAATATTTCACCTTTACCTTTTGGAAGTCATGTCATTTGTTCAGAGAGGTGTTCTAGTTTAGTTTAAGATGTAATTACCTGAAAAAAGTATGTGTGGGTGCGGGAGTTCGAATTGCAAAGATAAGTGTATCAGCTAAGAAAATATACAAATGCTGAATGTCATTTTCAATATTCAGAACAATACTCAGGTTACAAGTAGCTGCTTTGGTTGCTGAGATAAAGCGTATGAATGAGATTTGCAAAGTTGCCTGAGAGATTTAAATGATTAATTCCTTTTTAAAAGCAATGGAAATTGCTGTCCAAATCTCCTACGTGGCTTTGAAAATCTTAACTTAGGAGACCTAGAAAGTTTGCAATATCTGACCATTGGTTAGTGCCCAGGTATTTAATCCAATTGGGAACTGGCAGTTTCCTGGGGTAGATAAAAGGTGGGGATGGCAGGGAATTCCGGGATTGCTCTACTGCTAGAAAGAAGAGTTTCTGGCTGCTGGGAAGTGTTGCCAGGTGAAGACGCTTGCCTGTTCTCCATTGATCCCACCACTATCTGGTGCTGGTTCTGCCTCCTCCCTCAGATGAGGCACAGCAGAGGGATGGTGGCATCCTTTCGGTTCTTCCACCTGGCTGTGACCAGCAGCCTGACATACAGCCCAGAGTGGCACTGAGTTGGAGGAGGCAATTTTTTGCAGGTGGATCTCACCTCTGTTTTTGCAAACCCAGCCCTGGGCATTGCAAGGAATAACAAGATAAATCAAATTCCTTCCATAGGGAAAAAATGCAAATAATTTGAACCTCTATTTCAATGTATTCAGATTTGTTATTTGATCTGTCAGAGGCTCCTGCCTTTTCCACTACCCATCTCAAAATCCCACTGATCAGGCATTAAACTACTGAAGTAATGCACATTCCACGCTCTCCCCATTCAGATTTGATCTTCATAGCTATCAGTCCTCATCTTCTCTCCAGCATAGCATTGTAATGCGCTCCCAGGCTCTAGGCCTACTCACATGATAGCTGCACACCGTCCCCAAAGCTCCTTGTGCTTAGATGTGAAAAATCTTTTTGACAAATGGTATGAATTATTGGCTGCAGGCCTCCAGCAGATGACTGCAAATAGTCTATTTCCTTTAGAAATTGTTTAGTTGTGTGTTTCCAAAATGTAATGAAATGTCTGACAAACTATAATAGCAAACAAAATATATGTCAAAATTCTGTATGAGTTTTTCTTATGGCTTTTATACAATGAGACAGGTATACAGATACATCAGAACACAGCAGAAATGGCCCAAGTTAAAAACATTTCATCTTAGCTTGGGAGAGAAAGTCAGATCTTTTATTAAGACAGGGTTTTTAGGCTCATTTAAGCTGTAATTACTTGAAGAAAAAAAGATGTGTGAGAGGAGGTTGTCAATATAAATGTATAATCAAATACCACATTTAAATGCAAAATGCCATTTTGAACATTCAGAACAATTCTCAAGTTGGCAAAGTGCAAGGCAAGTAGGTTTACATTCCTGAAGCGAAGTTCTGAAGGCTATATAGTCCCTTAAGACTGTTCCCCAGATCCTCAGCTGGTATAAACTGTTCTAGCTCCATTGAAGTCAACAGGCTATGACAAGTTACACTAGCAGAGGATCTGTCTCCAGATGTTTAATTTAAGATCTGGTGTCTAACCAGTTCCTAAGTGATTGTGTGTGCGTGTGTGTGCGTGTGTGTGTGTGTGATGTTTAATTTAAGATCTTGTGTCGTGTGTGTGTCAGTCAGTGGGGAGACTCCAATGGAAGGGAAGGTTTCTTTCTGTGTCCAGGTGAGTGCTCGCATTGGGAATGAGTTTCCCAATTGATCTCACCTCCATCTCATGTTGTTGTTTTTCCCTACGCAAGACAATAACAGCAAAGGGATGGTGGCATTCCCTGGGCTTTCAGGTTAGGAGCAGAATGGAACAGAGCCTACAGTAGCTCTGTGCAGGGATGCCATCTACTGCTCGGTGTAAGAGGAGGGCTGGGAGAGAATAGCCAGGGACAAGAACGAGGAGGGTGGTGGCATTTGTGCTGTGGGGAGAGAGGCAATGACAGACATTGAAGCTGAGGGGCATGAGGGTTACAGGTGAGGCTGGCCTCAGGAATTTGGGGATCAGGAAGGGTGAAAGAACTATATTGGTCTTTAAATATATAAATTGCCCTGGGTCCCCCATGGCATCTTTGGGTCTCTTGGGATGGGGTGCTTCTCTCTGCAACTCCCCCAGGACTGAGTGACTAGAGAAGACAGACAATTCAAGCAGGCAAAATCTACTTTGAGCTGAATAGTGTCCTTCAATTAAGCTGCATAAAATAGAACACTGCTGTACATTTCCTCCTTCTCCCACAACTCCCAGACATCTTCCTCTCCAGCTATGGATTGTGTATTCATCTGACAGCCCAAGAAAGGGGATTGCTACTAAAGAAGAAGGGATCACGCAAAACCCAAACTGATTTGTATGAATTATTAGTGCAAGGTGCAGAAGGAGATATGATTTTAGAGGGATAATATCAAACATATAGTACAATCATGCAAATGTCCCAGCAATGCTGTCTGGAACAGCATAAACCAAGCCTGCCATTTGCCAGGTGTTCCTGTATTTCACTGAGGTGGCAATGAGAGGGTTTCACTTAGCTGCTGGATTTTGCAGTGGAATGGGGAAAGAGACTCTCTACCAGGATAAGATTTCTTCAGAACAAAGCCGGGTCAGGGCAGTGAAAAGGAATGCTAGCATATCATTCTGAAATGGAAACTGTACACAATCTTTGAAAAGAGCCATATGCTGAGAACTGTATTGATTGTTTGAAGGGAGGGGAATGAGAGATGGGTAATAAAGTGAAAGTTGCTACATTCCTTGTCCCAGGTGAAAAATGCTGGCTTATGAATTCTGAGTTGCTGTTGATGCAGAAGGGAGTACATTTATCTTAAGCAGAAGTATAAAGGAAAATGAGTGAAATATGATTAGGTTTGCACTGAAGAATTCAGATAAAATTTCGATAGTGGCATGCTCTGCTATTCTGAGTGAGTAGGAATTACTATGGCTGTCTGCAGAATCTGCTGTGTTCAAAACTGGGAGAATTTGTGGTTTCTCCCCTGAAAATCCCCAACAAGGAAAGGGGGGTGGTTCTGAGACCTAGGCTGCGGGAAGGTGTATGGTCGGGTCTCACCAGCCACTTCTTGCTCTGCCTGTGGCAGATTCAGCCAGTCCTCATTATGGTTTCCCTGTGCTGGGCTGCTGCCCATGGATGTAAGCAAGGGCCCTCTTCATTTTCCTGCTGTCCTTTGAGACATTTGCAGCCTAGCTGTCAGACTCCCCACAGGTGGGGAACTGGCCCCTCAGTTGGGGTAAGGCGGCCAAAACGAAACCTTTCGGACCCGGCGGATGAGGCAGCTGCAGAGCACGAAGCACAAACTTCTCCTTCTGCAACCTCTGGCAGGGACGCAGAGCAAGAGGAACACAGCCCTGGCTTCCTGCTTGGACCTTTCTCTGCCAGCCTCAGAACCTGTCATCTGAGCAGTTGGGAGAGGGTGGGGGGGGGAGCTACAGACAGACGATGACCCACTCTGAGAATCTGCGGACTAGCCTTGAGAGAGAACTGCCCTTTGTAATGCTAAAAAAGCTCTACAAAAACGTGCCTGAAATAGGTATTTCAGTGAGGTTACATGCTCTCCGGGGTTTCACAGTGCAGCCTCTTCTGTTTTCATTTGCAAAAGCTGCAGGTCATGCAAGCTGGTATCTTCCATGAGCCTTCTAGTCATGGTCAGCCATCTCCAGTGAGACACAATCCCGAACTCCACTGTCTAATGCCTGGTTTCAGAGTAGCAGCCGTGTTAGTCTGTAACCGCAAAAAGAAAAGGAGGACTTGTGGCACCTTAGAGAGTAACAAATTTATTTGAGCATAAGCTTTTGTGAGCTACAGCTCACTTCATTGGATGCTCCGATGAAGTGGGCTCTAGCTCACGAAAGCTTATGCTCAAATAAATTTGTTAGTCTCTAAGGTGCCACAAGTCTTCCTTTTCTTTTTGTCTAGTGCCTGACATGGTTATTCTTCAGGCATTGACAGTGACACTCACACTCATGAGATGCATTTTCTTTTCTTCTGTCTCTGTCCTCTTGTCTCCGTTTCTCTCTCGCTGCTATGTTTCTCTCTCTTGGCCCTTTTCACCCGAGTTCCCACCATGCGGCACTCATCACCATGCTTTGATACTTTCACCGCAGCCCCGATTCAGTAGTCTTCCT